GTATTTATATTTAAGTTAACAGTGAATGATCGATAGAATGAATCAAATAAAAAATTACTCACAATGGCAATAAGAAATGTATTTCCGATTTTTATTTAGGTTTAGTAAACCCTTTCGACATCAAAGAGCACTATTTTCAAAATATATTATTATCACTATAAAATTTGTATTAAAAGGTTTATATTTGCTACTCGCTGACATGAACAAAATTAAACATCGTGATAGCATTTTAAACAACCAATATCGGGCAATATTTGTTCCAATATTGGGTTGACTCAAAGCAATGGGAGTAGGGTCAGAAACTTAGTTATAATACAATACCCTTATCTCATTACAATATTCTTTGTTGTAAAATATAATAATGTTTGCTTTAAATATTGACAGTAAAAATCGAAAATAGGCAAGCAGTGGAACTGACAACAGCTCAATATTACATATCCAATAAGTACTCATGAAAGAAGTATAAAGTATATATTTGGTCTGAGGGATACTGCAGTATCACTGCTTAATCTCAATCTTGTACCTCTTGCTGAAGAAAATAATTTTCGCTTTATCCAATCGATGCTCATCTTAGTCGCTGATGGACATGTAAATGGTTTTAACTTTGAGCTTTGCATGAAAGTATAGGTCAGAAGATGCCTTAGTCGTAGAAAATACATTTAATTTATAGAATGTGGGCTATATAGTATGATCAGCTTGATGAGATGACTTCGTATATGACTTTCCGTTTACTTTCTACTTTCGCTACTTAAGCTGGCCAAGGGATTTTTGTATTGTTACAAAAACCCATTCAAAAGTATTTGCAATACCGTACAAGCAATTTTTATGTATTATATATATTATATGGCATTTATATGATGTAGATATAACGCTGGCCAAAGCTTTGTAATATTATTGAGTAGCACATAAATATTGTAGTGTCATTTGAAATTTTCTCTATGTATGTAAAGGGGAACCCCCATGTTATGGCTATTCATTATACCCTGTACCCAAAGGGTACAAGGGTATATTAGTTTAGTGCGAGTGCACATGGAACACACAGAAGGAGGCTTGGTAGACCCCACAAAGTATATATATTCTTGATCAGCATGACAAGCCGAGTCGATATAGCCATGTCCGTCTGTCTGTCCGTCTGTCTGTCTGTATGAACGCAAGGATCTCCGAAAGTATAAGAGCTAGAATAACCAAACTTGGTATACAGATTCTCCTGAGACCGAGAAAGGACGAGTTTGTTCATTTTTTCTGATCCACCCCCCCACTCCCCCCTATTAACGATTTTCTATAACTCCCGTAATTCTTGGAATTTTGAACTAAAATTTGGTAGTCACATTAGGTTAGTAATTATATAACCGTATACGAAGTCTCATTATGATAGAATGATCGGAAAGAAAGTTATAGCCATATAACCAGGCTCAATGCACACATACATACATATGTACAAGTACACAAACACGCAGAGACACGATTCTGATGTAATTGTAAATGTATGTATGCATGCATGGAATATTTTATATTTAATTTAGTTAATTAATTAAATTAATTTAGTTAATTAATTAAATTTAATTAATTAATTAATTTAATTACTTTTTTGTGGGGTGGTACAGGGTATTTAAGAGTTGAGCCTGCTCGACTTTAGCATTCCTTTTTTGTTTTATTATTATTATTTAATAATAATATAATAATAATAATATTTAATAATCATATTCTTAACATGGACAAGATATGTGCAAAAGAAACAAAGGGCAAAAGCATTTTTATTAATCACGAGGTCATAAACAATGTTAGTGTTAGAGGAACCATCTTATACTACTCCGTAAATGTGGGCATATGCTTTGTCAGGCGTGCACTATATATGTTCATATCTTTGCATATACAAGTATATATAATTTTTTATATATAATATATGCATTTATTTTTGTGCCAGAAAGGTCATTGAATTGTAAACAAAACTAGCCCGCAACCAAGCCTTTTATTTTCATACTTACATCTTACCATCTTTGAATATATTTAATTGGCGTTTTTTATTCAAAATGTCAAATTGCTTTGGCCTTGAGCCAAATCGCGGCAAAGTTAAGTCCGAACCACAAAAGCAGCTGAAAACAAAAACGAGAAATTTACATAAAAGCGCTGATAAAAGAGTGAGCTTAGCAATTTGTCACTGTAACGCCTAGGCTTGAGGGGCGTAAAGCGTAGAGTGTGGGGCGTGGCACGAGGTGACTTGAAGACATCGCCTGAAGATGCCCCAATACATGAAAATTAGCCGCTTCGAGCTCTGCGCTAATTTGTGAAGGTACCGGCGCCATAAATATCGAAAGTGTGTTGATTATTAATGAAGCGATGTATAAGCCACAAACTGGAGACCCCGTGGACGATACCCATTGAAGGGGGCTTAGGCAAATGGCATGCAAGTGGCGTGCTAGACGAGTCAATCAATCAAAAGTTTGGGTAGCGGGCGTGCGTTGGCAGCTGCTACAGCTTTTTGCCGGTTTTTACATTGGCCGTCATCATTTGGCCGACAACATAACACTTGTATGTATGTATTATTATAAAGTAAATCTTTATTAACACTGCGTTGTTGGTGTTGCGTGCGAGTGGCTGATGACAACGACGACCAGAAATTGGCGCGCTATCTTACCTTGAGTGTATTATGTACTCGTACATACATACATATGTATAATATATTGATTTCATCAACAACGAAAAGGCATAAAGAGCAAAATCTTGTATTTTTCAGGTTTTTATTTTGATTTGACTCAAGCATGTAACCGAAGCATCAGTAATACTTATAGCAGTATCGAAATCATGTCAATACAAATGAAAAGCAGCCACAAACAAACAATACAAATTGTACGTAACTATACATACATATGTCAAACGTTTATTTTGGAAATAGACGACGAAACTAAGGAAAGTCGCGAGTGAATGTGAAAGAGCCCGAATTGAAAGTGGGAACGTGCAAGGCGGACGGATGTACAGTGGGTCACAATAAAAGAGCGACCTACAAAAGCAAATACCAAGCAGAGAACAATTTTTGAAAGAGAGATTCAATCGTTTCAGTCGAATCCACAAATATGTTCTGAAACTGTAACCATGTAATGCCACGAAACCGACATCTGGTTGGAAATATTATTATATTTATGATATACTTGTATATTTATATTTAAATTACATACATTAAGCTGCATATTATAAGCTAAGCTATACATTAATTAACTTTTTTTACTTATTCCGAAAAATATAATTTAGTAAATAGGAAATGAAATGTAATATTAAGCTTTTTGTATTTTATTGCTTAGTGGTATTTAAGAAAGGCTCTGCATGTAGTTGTTTTACTAATTTCTAATTTAAAATTTTATCGAAATTTTGACATGGGCTCCAAAATTATTTAACAAATTCAACTGCCTGAAAATTAATTCAATGGGCGAGCTATTATCAGCTGGAAATAAATCTAAGATTTAAACTATTTGAAATCAAAGCGACTAATTTCTGTAAGCGAAATGACATAAGTATCTTTAATTAAAAAGACAGTTTTATTAGACCATTTATTATTATTATTATTATTTTTTTATTAGACCATTCGAGGGATAGAATTATATTTATCATATTATTAAATTTTATGTTTAGTGTTAATGAAGCTAAAAATGATTTTGATTAGCCACTATAAAAGCTGTGTCATTTTAAAGCTTATCCTTTATACATCAAGCCTTAATATTCATTTTATCTATGTATATACAAGTAATGCTCTGATCTGATTTGGTCGGAACAGATATGTTATACTGAAAATTATGTAAGTACGTACATATGGCAAATGCAATAAAATACATTCTTCACTTTGTTGGTTAAATGCAAAGAATACTTTAAATTAAAGAGGCGTTTGACTAAAATCGAAATCAAACCTTGAGCAGCAATCAGGAATACCCCTTTTATCTATGTCTGACAGGAAAAAGCGTTGAGCAAAGCTTAAGCTATATAACCACAAAACTATGGAAAAAGTAGTGCTTCAGATAGACAGACTTCGCGAGCACTCCTCGCAACCAATAATATGAAAAATTTGCCAATTATGAGGGCCGATTACGCGGTCCAAATTTAAAAATCCGCAGTATCCGATGAACCACTGTACCTACATTGCCACGTTATAGCGACTTTTTATCCAAAGGGTGCCACAAACATACTACACAACGTAATGGACCGCCACTTACTTCCTCGTAAGTGCAAAAAACAACTACAAACCTATAATAATATCAACAACAATGCGAGCGGCGACTTTCAATTTGCACAGAGCTTCACATAAATTGCATAATGGAACCAAAAACAGCTAAATCAACAAAAACTATAAAAAGTGAATTGAAGTAAGGGGAGTAGCAATGCAACGATGCGCAACCAATGCCACAAAGTCGTGCGCCTTTATCACAGGTTTCTGGCCTTTTCTTTTGGCCAGGCCCGATCAGACCTGTCCAGGCGTTCACCGGACCGCGTGTGCACCGGAAACTGGTTGCAAGTTGACCAACTGACCTTGGGGTGCCGCAGAGCCAGCGACAACGACAGCGATGAGGCAGAGACAGAGGCTGTAAAACTTACGCAATGCATCTGAGCGTAGGGCTTAGTGCACTGCTCGAATACAAGCATTGCTCACACGCATAAATCTTTAGATAAACAAACTGCAGCCGTCGTTGTGAAAAGCGATTGCAAAATTCCCATCATCGTTTGAAATCCAAACCTACTAGTACGTGTATGCTGCAAACCCGATCAGAGTGTGAAGAAGCGGAGGCGATGGCGGCATTAGCGACGAGGCGAAGATCGCAGCTTGTCAAATGTAAACAACAAATTGAAGCAACTTTTTGGCCAGCTCCGGCGTCGGCGTCGTCGTCGGCGTTGGCGACGTTGTCGGCGCCTCTGCCTGCCTGCAGCTGCCAACTGCGGCAGAGCACACTTTCAAGTGCGATATAAAAGCGCGCCACCGACGCAGCCAACAAGCCAAAGTAAAAAGTACACTTGCAGCGCGCATAGCAAGAAAAGCAGCTCGGGAAACGTTCGAACCGAAGTCTACACACAATACACTAAATTCAAAAAAATCGAAAAATGTTCAAATTCGTGTTGGTTGCCGGCCTCTTGGCCACCGTCGCCTTTGCTGCGCCACTTGTGAGTGCAAAGAAAAAAGCTTGATTTATAAAATACATGTACAGTACAGTAAGAGATTGTGACATTTGGTGCCAAATTTATTGAATGTTGTTACTGCTTGTAAATGTTGCCCAAGTCTAGCTGCGCATGCACATTGGTCGCTTGGTGGAGCGGTCCATTCCGCACTTCTCGAAGCTGTTGCACTTGACGTTGCCGCAGTAGATGCCCGTGGCGCCGCCAGCTGCAACGCAAAGAACAAACAATTTTAATCCGCCCCCTGAAATGCTGAAATTCATAGCATGCATGTCGCACTCACAGTTTTTGCTGCTGAAGGGCGAGCTGTTGCCTCCCGAATTCCCCAGAAGGTTCGGCTGTACGCAGCTCCGGCTATTGCACAAGTTCGGGCAGCACTTGCCCCCAATGGCGCTGCACTCGCTGTCGTGCAGGCACTTGGGCGTGCAGTTCTGCACCTTCGTCGAAGAGGGGCAGTCTGCAGGGATTGTTGCAGGGATGGATGAAATAGACCAGTTTATCAGAGCTAGAGTTAATTCAACATACCACCGGCCCCCAAAGTTGTGGCCAAACAGGCGCTAATCACGAGCAACGCGAGCATCAGGTGGTTTCCTTTGTTAGCTGTGATTTTTGTGGAGAGAGTTTCAGCAACAGCTTCAGCTTTAGCTTTTTTCCGCATTTTTGCTTGCTACCTACCCATTTTGTTGGTGTATAGTACGAGTATAGTATATGTATCTATGTACGAGTATATCTTGTTCGACGTCCGATCCGTTGCTTCAATCACTTACGACTGAAGCGGCTCGCTTTATATGCCAGCGATCGTCAATGATGTTACTTGTTTGCCCAGGCGGACCAAGCCACACAACAAGTTTTGGTTTTATTTATTTATTTTTCATTTTTTTATTGTTTTGCTTTGCTTGAAACGCAACAACTATACAACATTTATCAATTTAACGGCCGTGCACTTCGATGTGAGCTGTAGGCGGTAGACATAGACCCTACCAAGTTGGAGGTAGTAGTATTGGAATGAGATATTTTGAGCCTTTTATTATCATTCAGAATTGAAACGATTTTCTTTTCCATAAATTATAGAACCAATCGAAGAAAACAAGTTCAGCAATAGCGAATATGAGACTACTTATTGGTGCTTGCAATCATTTTCCAAGGTTTATTAAAATGTATACATCTTCAGTATAAATTAAAATTTAGATATCGCTGTAAGTGTAGCGCATATCTGGATCTTCTTCTGAGAATTGAGCACTTGTCGCACTAGTGTATAGCACATACGAATATGTATGTACGTACACGTATAGATACAATATTTCAATTGCGTTTTCCGCTCATTCACTTAAGAACGGCCCCTATAACGACCTAAGAAAAATAATTAGAAATGCGTCACACACTATACACTCATGCAAAATGGCAAGTAAACAAGATTTGCAATTTAAAGTCGTCTCCGTTGAGTGAAGGGGCACTGATGGGGAGCAGGTGCGATGCAGAGATTACACGGTAATCGCAAGGCAAGCAATAATGCCGCAGCTAATATCCATAGGAGATTTAGCATCTACATATATCACCGGTAGCTCTACCTATCTGCTCTAAGCACATTTTATTTATTCCCTATGAGGTCGTCCAAGCTCCGCCACACACCGTGAATCCTATGAATAGCATATATACTTGTATACTTGTATATGTACATACATACCTACGTATGTATGTTTTTAATTCCGATTTCAGCTGCTACTATTGTTCTCAAATTTCCAAGTCATGAATTTATTCAAATTTAACAAACGAAAAGATTTTCCTCGTAAAAACCTATTTATAGCTCTTACACTTTTAAACAAATTTATTAGTTTGTATGAAGCGTATTTTGCTGTTCTGCAACACACAAGCATTTTTTCATTTATCACAAAAATTAAAAGCTCTAGGTTCACATTTTAAAGACGAGAAGAATGCTTAAACCGTGCCAGTCTGCTTTTCAAATACTCTGCATCCGCGCTTCAACCAGTCAACAACAAAAAATCTCAAGGTGTCACGAAACTCATAATTACCGAGGTTGCTTAAGATATCTTTACGATTGAATTTTACACAATTGATCCAATAATATATAACTCTATGTATATAGAAGTATAGGCTTCCTTACATTTCATTTGCATTCTTAGATATACTATATAGTAGATACATCTAAGATGCCAATTATGGAGATGGCAAAATTAAATTGTAGCCAAAAGTTTCTTGTGGGGAAGTGTGGAGCTGCATCGAACATATACGAGTACACGTCCTTTCCCGGATTAGGCAATCGTTTGTACCAAGTTTGGAGACTCTAGCTCATACAAAAATCCGACTAATACAGGTTATACCAATTTTAAAAACTTGTTTAGTCATTTACGTCATTACTTACCGTCGTATTTCCAATATAACCCACATTGCGCATACGGCTGCCAGTGAAGCACTGACAATTCATATATCGCCCCCACAAAGTATATATATTTATAATTAAGGGGACAAGCCGAGTCGATATAGCCATGTCCGTGTGTATGGACGCAAGGAGCTCATAAGTGTGTATAGGCTAGACTTAGACTCAGTCTTGATATAATTAGGATAAGGTCAGAGTTACAGCTTGGGGAGCTATTGCTATAGAATAATCATCGTATGTCAATAATCCAAAGACTAGACTTTTACAAAACCGATCAGCAATTATAATATTTTTTTTTCGCTTTTTTGGGAGTGGGTACCGGGTATTTAACGGCTCTAGCGTTCACTCTGGTTTTATATTAGTGTATTCGCATAACCTCCAATTAGGTTAATGAGCTTAGTAGCTTGACAGGTTTAAAGGCACGGCGTATGTTTTGTATGCTAAATAGGGGGCGTGTCATTGGTGTCATTGAATATCAATATTTATACGTGTTCTTCCTCTATTCGCAAATTCAGACTCCCGAAGAAGAAGAAGACAAACGGGAAATGGAACGGATACAAAATGAAAGCGCACAGTATTCCTTTGACTCCAATATTGACGACGGTATTAATGACGGTACCCTTCGACGAGAGGAGACACGCGACGGCACAAAAGTGACGGGCAGTTACAGTTACAGCGACGGGTATGTCCATCGCACCGTGTTCTACGAGGCTGATGAAAATGGCTATCGCGTGATTAAAGAAGATACCAAGGAAATTGGCGAAGGTCCCCAATTCAATGCCGATGGTCAGGCTGATGTAGAGGGCTCTCTAATTGGCAAATACTCGATCAAGCTGGATAAAGATATGGAGGACAAACACTACAAGGACATACGCTCGTAGGGAGAGAGAGGTCGGAAATGCATCCTAGCATTTAGAAATAGACTGAATACATCGTAAAAGTCAAACTCTTGTTGTGTTTTTTTATCAAACTTAAAATAAACGATGAGCTTAATAGTAACAAAAAGAATCAATTATTGTCAAGGTGATTGCTGTTTATAAACAAATTAAGTTGAAGGTACACGCAAAAGGACTATTTGGAGCATTTTCTCTCTAATGTGATGAACCCAAGCTAGGACACGCGAAAACCGATAAAAAAAAATGTCACCAATCGTCCGCCTCAGGATATAGAACACCGGCAGAAAAAACATTATGAATATTCAATTTGGATCCACTACTTGTTATAAATAAATAAGTTTTTATTAAAAAACTCCTCTTAAATCAACTCTTTTCTATAAAAGCTGTATGATGTTGTGATCTATACTACAAGAAGACTCAACACGATGGCTCTAGGATGGTTAAAATATGGTGCGAGGATATGCAACCTGTATCCCAAAAGTGCATTTCTTTCCAATCACTTCTGAGATCCACTACTAGGAACCACTACTCATTTCAAATGATAACTGATCATGCTATTTTAAAATATTCGAACATAGAAGGACGTATGTAAGTAGTTCTTGAAATTATAATCCTTACTCATTATTGACACATATTACGCAAGTGTTTAAATAGTATAGTTTTTAATAAAGCATATTGTTAGACAACTTTATCTATAAAGCGCACATACTTGGTATTTGTGTTGCATGTACCGCAACCTACACCGCAATTCTATTTGTTAAATAACCCTAGACATCCTCCTGCACACATTCCATGGAGTTATTCGTCGAATGCGTTATAATCAAAGCCTTCTCCGAGTCGGTCAAATTGATAAACTTGTGCTTAGACTCGAGCTCCTTCTGAATGGATGATAGTAGATCTGGGGAGCCCCGACCTGGCTTGACTGAGGCAGCATCCATGCACAATACATCATTGTGACCACTCACATCCAATGTAGGCTCCACAATGGTCTCCATTTGCGACGAATGTCTCTTACGACGCATGCGCTTAGAGCCGCGGGTGATGAGCATGACCGCTGGTGACTCGTAGGGTAGTGCCTGTATGACTGTCTGAAGCAGCTTAGGCGGCGTCTCTGGTGTCTTTGGATTACCGATAACCACGTCTGCCTGCAGTGCACTCCTGGCCCGCTCCCGCTCTTCCTCGCGTTCTCTTGCCGCATTCTTTCGCATCAGCTGGCGCGCCCTCTTTTTGAGAATGGCTTGGGCATTGGGATAGTAAGCGATGACCTAAATTGCATATGAAGCCAATTATTTTAGGTACGATGTGCTTTGTTTGATTTTACCTCGCTTAGGTCTGACTTTGAGAGCACAAACAGATTGGAATAACCTCTGGAGCGTACATCGGCGGTTCGCCGATCAGCGCCATTAATTCCAAGTAAGCTGATCTCTCCGAAAACAGACCCTTCGGTTAGTGTGGCCAGCACCACGTCGCTACTCGGACCTCCCATAACCTGCACCTGGCCGAGCTTAACGATGTACATTTCGCGACCCACCTCGCCCTTCCGGCACACAAAGTCACCCGGAAGAAAGGTAACAGCGCGCAGCTTGAGCACCAGATCTCGAAGCAGTGCTTCTTCGCAGTCGGCGAAGAGCTGCACCTTTGAAAGCGTGTGAATGTGCACTGAAATGGCTATATCTGTCTTTAGATTGATAGGTAAGGCATCCAGAATGTTGGACTCATCTGTAATAAATCTGGTAATCATACGCTCCCAGAGCTCTCTGTATATTCTGTATTTACCTAGAGTGCGTTGTTGCTCCCAGGTGAAACGAAACCACATCTTGACACGTGATTGCACCTCGTGTGATAAATTCAAACGTCTCATGTACTCCAGAGTCTCGTCCTCTAGCTGTCGATACTCGTGCTTGTTACGCGTGGCCGTTGAGATAATGTCGCGAATCTGACCAATGAGCAACGCAAAAACGAAGACGCCCATTAACCAGGCCACCGTCATGAAGACATACTCCCCCAAACGCTCCGGCTTAGGATTTTTTCCAATAGAGGTGGCCGTCTTGGTGGCGAATGCAAAGCAGCGAACATAAGGATGACCCTTACCGCTGAAGACCCAACGATTTTGTCCCAATCCTTGGTAGTCGCTGTAAGCATAGTAAAGAGCGGCTGTGATGTGTATCATGTACAGCATGTAGGTCAGCGTCTTCGCTACACGCACCTGGAATGAGCTCCATTAATTAGGAACCGCGGCAATCGTTCAGATCTAAAAAGTAACTTACGAAGTGTGGTGAGGAAATTACACGATCTAGCAGACGAAACACCTCCCAAAAGCTTTGAATCTTGAAGAAGCGTGGAAAACGTAGCCAAACGGCGGCCGTTCCATATTTTAGGTAGAACAACTCTAATGGCAACAGTGCTAAGAGATCCAACTGTAAAAGAAACAGAGACACACTGGGTAGATATTTAATCGTTATTTGCATCTAGATCTGACATGACAGAGAAACCACAATGAATGGTAGAGTCAAGCGGGCTCAACGCTTAAATACCCTGTACTCTGAATGGCAAAGACTAAGAAAAATTCATAAAATCAGTGGGGAAAAACACAATTACCAGGTTTGGTTAATCTAAAATTTATACATTCTGAGATCGACTCGCCTTATCAGGGATATGGTTTTTATACCCTGTACCCGTAGGGTAAAAAGGGTATATTAGGTTTGTGCAAAGTATGTAACATGCAGAAGGAAGCATCTCCGACCCCATAAAGTATATATATTCTGAATCAGCATGACGAGAGAAATCGATCTAGACATGTCCGTCCGTCCGTCCGTCTTTCCGTCTGTCCGTCTGTCCGTCCGTCTGGATGAACGCGAGGATCTCAGAAACTATAAAAGCTAGAATAACCAAAGTTGGCATCCAGATTCTCCTAGGTCCGAGAAAGGACGAGTTTATTTTATTTTTTGGAATTTTCCCCCCCTTCCCCCGCTACAGAATTTCGTCAATAGCGTCCACATTTCATATGCTACCTAAATCAAACTTTGCACACATAATTTATATATAATTGTCTACTGTTGTTTAAAATTTCATTCAATTCGGTAAATTCTAAGAAAAGTTATTAGCGAAACAAATTCTCGCCAGTACAACCCCCCCAAACTGCAGCGACAAGTTCGCTCTTCTTCTTCCTCTTTTTGCTGCTGCTATGGGCGCATATAACTCAGTGACGGAAGTTTACCTGGGTACCTGTCGGGCTTGCTCGACTGTAGCGTTCTCTCTTGTTTATACATTTACACTTAACTAGTATCCCCTTTTATCCTTTGGGTGCAGAGCTTAACAATTCTGAATATGCCGTGCTCAGTAAGTGCTTGAAAATCTTCTTTTTACTAGCCAATGGAATTACAGCTCTTGAGCCACGGATAAGAAGAGCTGTAGTTCGGCAACCACTTAGACCCAATCTTGATATAAATGGAATAAGGTTAGGGTAAGAGGTTGGGAGCTATTGTCATCGAACGTCAATAATTTAAAGATATAATTTTCTCTACCAATATTAGATCAAAAACTGTAATACTATTACCACTTCCCTTTCCTCTTAGATCTTCGGTTAAAGTTAGAATGATAGCAATGGGTGTGGAAGTTCCACGAGTGCCTCTGATATGCTTAGACACAATACTTACCTTGAATTGAAGCTTTCGCATATAATTTTTCCGCGTCAGATTCTTGTTCTTCACCCAAAACCCTTCGAACAGATACATGACGCGATGCTTGAAAAACACCACGTCCAGCAAATATATAATGTCTGCGCAGAAATCACAGGCCAGCCAAATATTCGTGTTCTGCTGATTCTGAAAGGGAAAGGCCGCACGGAGTGGAATAACCCAGGCATTATACAGGAACGACAGTGAGACCACACAAAGCCAAGAAATATAGATTTTGCCCTGCGGATCAAGTGTACGCTCATCATTGTTGGCGCCACACAAACTGGAGCAAAGCCAGACATTGGAGCGTGGTGTATCGGCCTCGAAGAGACGGCCGCGATGTGGCGATTGTCCGGCGGGCACCAGACGAACCTTGTGCTCCGGAGAAGGATGCAGGGTCTTGGTACTTGCATGCAATGTCGGCGGTGGGGGTGGCGATGATGAACCTGCGCTGCTTGAGGGCGTGGGTGGCTGTTCAATACGCGACTTGACTTTGTTGGCTCGCGCCGTAAATCGTCTAACCAAATGGCGCACCTGATCGCGCAAGAACTTTTGACTCTGAGAATCTAGGCTACCAGCACTACTTAAGCGTTGACTGTGCATCGTGGACATGGCTGTGGGCACATCTTCATCAGCTTCAAGGACAGCTACAATTTCACTGGTGTTCAGGGAAGGCGAACGAACTGCACGGATATTGCGGTCTTCGTTCTGCAGTTCAGGTGACTCATTGTAGCATATTTGCACATCCTGTTCGTCGTCGTCCACATCGAAGACGGCCTGCGAAACGCTGTCGCAATGGTCCGGCTCCTTTGGGATTATCACCTGTCCCGTGGCTGCCGTCAGTTCCGCTTGACGTTGCACCTCCAGGGGCACAGCGCCCGGTAGTGGAGTCAGATCTATAGCCTCTGTCGTTGCTCTGCCACGACCGGTCAAGACACGTCGTACACTCGCCGGACTGACTAGTGGCTTTTCGTGCTCATATCGGAGAATCTTTTTAACTAATGCATGTGTGCTCTCAATATTGTTCGCCTGTTTCTCGGCTTCCACGCACCCAATGCGTCCGTTGCGAAGATACAATCGGGAATAATAGAAGTGGGGACTATTCGGGCGCTGGCGTCGCTGCGGTACCTTGTAGGCATTGATCTTGTAGGTCACTTTCTTAGTTGGGCTGGGCGTCTTGTTCTCTTTGTTGGGGTAGTCACGCTTACGTTTTATTTGCTCCTTGGCCTGCTCTACTTGCTTTTCGCGCTGCATTACCTGCTCCGTGGCGGTCAGAAACTGCTCGATCTCTTTGATATCCTTAGAAATCTCCTCCAAACTTCGTCGAACATGCGCCTGCTGCTCGCCGGGAGTGGAGTAACGTCGCTCGCCATTGCGACCCGTGCACGGCTGGGTGTTGATCACGTTACGGATGAAAGCATGTCGCTCTAGTGTTTCGCTAAATCGCGGCGCCTGCGGTGAAGTGGCCATGCGCTTCAGCTGGGCGTGCTCCACGGAGAAATCGTCGTACGGGAAATTTTCCAAAATGTTGGGCGATGATTTCAGCAAAGCTGTGCTGGCAGCCAGTTCCTCTCTCTCCGCTTTTGCGTTGAACTAGACAGAAAGATAAATGTTTCTATGAGTTGAGCGACTTGGACGCGCGTTCGCCTTGGCGAGTGGTCAGTAACTGAGCAAGGCAAGCAAGCCAGCGGGCCAGCAAGCCAGACAACAACACGCAAATGTAATAAAAAAGCAAATGTGGGAGGCTAGCAGCTATAGTTGGCAGTCGCCAGTCGTGCCTCGCATTCTAATTACATTGACTTTAGCCGGCCAGGCATGAGCTCTACTCGCACAATCAGCCTTAATCGATTAACCGCTGCCTGGACACATTCATAAGGCATCTGACGGACTGATTGCGTGCTCCAAGGACATTCAACTCACGACCCCCGTGCTCCCCCTATTTACTCACCTTACCAAAACGACCCATACTGGCCATGTTGTTTTGCAGTCTGCGCTTTCGCGAGTTCACTGCAAAGTTCAGGGTCGTGGCAGGTTCTGAACTCGAGGCTTCTCCACAATTGAAGTGTTGGTGTTGCTTGCTGTAGTTGTGGGCGGTACACACAGCCCAGATTGATTAATAGCAATATATTCAGAGCATTGGGCTTATCAAAGTACTTTGTTAGCATATGCTCGCGAATATTGATTTTTCACTTCCAAGTATATACTATACTTGTACATATGTACATACATAAGTACATATATTCTGAACGATGGCACCCGCAACTTCAACTTATCTAACAACCCAAAATTCAACAGGTGTGCGACGAAGTTCTATAAATTACCCTTACATCTAACCAGATCTTAGGTGTCTCGACATTTTTTCACACAAACTTTAAATAATTCAGAAACAAATTGGACTCCTTCTGGTTGCACTCAATTACGCAGCACTCTATGCAAAGTTTGCACGTTTCAACTCGTCCGCTGGCTGCACTTCTCTTCACTATGTAACAACCAAATTACTGGACTGGCAGCTTCACAGCTGATTTGCCTCCATGGAAATCATGGCTGGCAGAGCGCAGGCGCCTCAAGCAGAGGCTACAGTGGCGCGAAACGGAATGTAAAAACTAAAATTAAGTCATTTCAATACTGCAGATAAAAATGGATCCAGTAATATGTGTACGAGTATTTGTTCGTTTTTATACCCTGTACCCAAAGGGTACAAGGGTATATTAGTTTTGTGCGAGTGCACATGGAACACACAGAAGGAGGCTTGGTAGACCCCACAAAGTATATATATTCTTGATCAGCATCACAAGCCGAGTCGATATAGCCATGTCCGTCTGTCTGTCCGTCTGTCCGTCTGTCTGTCTGTATGAACGCAAGGATCTCCGAAAGTATAAGAGCTAGAATAATCAAACTTGGTATACAGATTCTCCTGAGACCGAGAAAGGACGAGTTTGTTCATTTTTTCTGATCCACCCCCCCACTCCCCCCCTATTAACGATTTTCTATAACTCCCGTAATTCTTGGAATTTTGAACTAAAATTTGGTAGTCACATTAGGTTAGTTATTATATGACCGTATACCAAGTCTCATTATGATAGAATGATCGGAAAGAAAGTTATAGCCATATAACCAGGCCCAATGCACACATACATACATATGTACAAGTACACAAACACGCATAAGGCACGATTCTGATGTAAATGTAAATGTATGTATGCATGCATGGAATATTTTATATTTAATTTAGTTAATTAATTAAATTAATTTAGTTAATTAATTAAATTAAATTAATTAATTAATTTAATTACTTTTTTGTGGGGTGGTACAGGGTATTTAAGAGTTGAGCCTGCTCGACTTTAGCATTCCTTTCTTGTTACAAATATAAAATAGCCCAACCTCGAGCACTTCCGCGCGAGGATTAATAAGTTAGTGGTGGCTTATGCTTATCTAAATGTTTTGAAAAAACCTAATCGTTGCAGTCTTCGCAAAGGTCTGTCAGGATATAAAATAAATAGTAAATGCATATTATATCTATATCTGACAATATGTTTGATTTTCACTGAGTCGAGCGGGCTCAACTCTTACAAGTGGAAAAGCTGAAGTAGCGTGCCCCGACTTCGAAGTACTCTTAAGTCAAAGCAATAAGAACAACCGCTGTGGGCAGAGATTGTTTTTATGAATATAACTTTCTTCATAATTGATCTATCATTATGAAACTTGGCATACGAACACATAATCATTCATGGGTTTGAATTACCAAATTTGAATTCCAAGAATTACGTGAGCTATGAAAATTCACTAATAGCTGGGGTGTGGGAGTGTACCTTTTGGCTATATCGACTTAGCTTGTCATCGTGATCAAGAATATATATTCTTTGTGGGGTCTGCCACGCGTCCTTCGCACAAAACTGGTACAGTTCAGGGCATAATAATTTTTTGACCGATTATACCTCTTTAGTTTAGATTTGAGCCAAAGCAGCAACATTGCGTACATTGCTTGGGCATAAATATCATTTATCTTCCTTTTAAATTGGCCTATCACGACATGACATGACATACGGACAGAAGCCAGTAACCAGAAATAATTGCCAAAATGGATTACAAAATTACAAGAATTATGTGAGTTATGAAAGATCAATAATAACGGAGGAGCGGAGGAAACATTTTGCTAATGCACTTGTAATGCATACGAGTACATGCACATGTACGTCTATAAGACATCGGAGTGCATGTGTTCCTAGTGAAGTATATATATTTTAATCAGCATGATGAGAGAAATCGATTTCGTCGTGTCCGTCTATCTCTCCGTCTCTGGACTTCATATTAACCAAACTTTGTATACAGAACTTCGTCAATACTGTCCACATTTCAAAAGCTACATTATCCAAACTTTGGACACGTAATCTACTTGTATATATATATTATCTACTTTTGTTTCAAATTTCAAAATCGGTCAATTCTAAGAAAAGTTATTAGCGTAACGATTTCACACCAGTACTGCACCAACTAACTGCAGGCATCATTATTTTTTTTACTTTTTGCTATGGACGCCGGAATTTTGTCTGGATACAGGGTATTTCACTGTCGGGCTTGCACGACTGTAGCGTTCTCTCTTGTTTTAGTAGGGAGCTATGCAAAAATTTCCATTGTTCTAAATAAGGTATTTTAAATTCAATTGTTGTCAACCATAGTGGAGACTGTCTTATTGAAAATTTCTGCAGAGACATGCTGATGCATGCATCCAATTGGTGGCCAGAACAGGATGAGTTCAAAATCTCCACGATTCTCGTAAATCTCCATTTTTGCCAGTTATTTGCAGATGACAGTTGCCACAAATCTGAGCTATTTGAAAATAGTTTAACCCCAGTTATTGATATTTATCCCCCCAATATTGTTTCCGAAACTTTTTTCACACAATTTTATATGCAGAAAGGAAAGTAAGCGACTGAGGAAATGAAGCACCTCGCTTGATTCGGATGATGATTTTTTAGAATTTGAGGGCTCCAGAAGTCAATAAATGGAGTCTACCTTAAAAATTTAATCTCTACTGCGAGCGACAGAAAATGCCGTTCGGCACTTTAACGAAATGCAAACATTACTTAAAATAGTATGTATTTAAGCCACATTTCCAATTCCCAGCAGATCGTTCCTCTGAAGTGCTTTTAGACTTAAAATATGAGTGCTGTCCGTTTAAGATTTATAACCGATACACGAAAAAAAAAGTGTGAAAGTCCTTCATAGGAAATTCAGTAGTTTAAGGCAGAAACTCACATGTGAATCAATCGGTTATTACTGCTGGCATCAAAGCTCTCTTTTAATTATTGCCTAAGGCCGAAAGATACAGACAAATATTCATAACTGAAATAAATCTTCTACAATTAAAAATTCTCGGGAAGGTAGCCCAATTCAAGCAATTGATGATACTGGAATTATAAAACGATCGGGATTATATGTCCCATAGGTTTGTTTCAAATTTTGGAGCCCATATTAATATCCAACATTAAAAAATGAAGGAAGGAAGATCATGCGAGACGTGGAGTAATTACAACTACGTCATTTAAAATTCTATAAAGATGTTTAAGAACTATGCTTTTAATGCATATTTTTGCATACCAATTCCTACAGTTTTAACTAAAAGACAACTTTCGATTTTAAATTATTTATATTTTAATTACATAAACTTGCAGTTAATTAGTAGCTTGTTTTAGCGAAATGTTTGTATACATAAATGTATGAATTATGCAATTTAATATGTTGAAGCCAGTTCATGTTCCCGCCCACATATGCAGTTGAATGCCGCCAAAATTTAGTTGGCAACAAAAATCCCCAGTGAATGCAATTAATTTTCTGATACCCGCTGTTGTTATTGCCGGCGATCGTCGCAGCTTGTGCTATTGTTGTGGTTTTATTCATTGTTGCTGCTCCGGAGGTGGCTGCTTCTTTCGCTTACGACGTGGTTTTCGTTTTTTCTTTCGCTCCTATTTCTTGCCGCTCTTACCGCCGTCGTCCTTGCTCTTGTCCGACTTTTCCTCCTTCTTAGAGGCATCCTTATCTTTTGTATCTTTGTTATCTTTGTCTTTGCCATCCTTGTTTTTATCCTTCGCTTCCTTGTCGACATCACCAGTCTTCTTGCCCTCTTCTGCATCCCGATTCGCCAGCTTGTTGTTAATCAGATTATGTAGCGCAATAATGGAGCGAACCATGGAAGCCAGATACACGACGAGCATTTGGTCGTTAGTCTTTACGTACATGGTGTCTGTAAACTGATCGCTGGTAATGTCCGGAAGCAAATTAAATATATCCTGCAGCTGGTACACAATCTGATGGTTGATCGGCATCTTGCCATCACGTACGCGCTGCAGATACTGTTTGATGTCGCGCAGTTGTGCGTTAAGCCCCTTGAGACCCATAAGCTGGTTGGTGATCTTTTGCGATAGACTACCAACAGTGGTATCCTTGATGTCTCGCAGTAGGTGCTCTACTCCAACTTCTTCGGCTTCCTCAGCACCTATCTCACTGGGAACATGCTCAAATGTTTTGCTCGTGGGTGAACCGTCATCGTGCACCTCCTCCACAGATATATAGGCTTCAGTGGGCAGGCCTAAGTCTTTAGGCTTCGCATCAATGATCACTAACACGGAATTGGGACAGTAGCGCCGAATAAGTTCATTAATGGCAATGTCATTTTGATGTAGTTTCGGCCCAGTATGGTACCAGCCAACCACGCGTTCGCGAGCATTGACCTTTTTGAACATTCCATACATGTTTTCCAGATAATCATGATCCAAAAACCACACGGATTTGTCTTTGTCATCCTCGTCGAAGGGCACTGAAAATGTTTTGGTTAAGGGTTTCGCTTATCGACTTTTCAATGCTTACCTGCGAAGCTATTTGAAACGTCGAGCACGCCTTTGGAGCGCCAGCAGCCTAGAAGGACTCCTACAACGCGCTTCTGGTTGCCTATTTTGCCCATGCGGTTAAAGTGATCCACCACGGACAAGAGGACCAGAGGATGAACTATGACTTTGTTTACACTAACTTCCAGCGATGGCATTTTGACGGTGTGTGTTATAATTTGTCGGCTAATAAACAGGAACGGCCCGTTAAGATTAAGTTGTCGTTTGATTTATTTTCCACAGTTTCAGAAGTGGAACAATAAAAATTGTTGCGGCTAAAATGAAGCGACACGAATGACAAGCAGATTCTTCTTCTTATGCAAATACAATTCGCTGGAATAAAATATTCATTGACACTTACTTATCGATGTCGCAAACAATTTCCGATATCGGTATTGTAAATTGAGTATTTTTATACCAAAAAATTATATTTTCAAAATTTTTTGGAATAAAAATTGAGATCTTAATTTGTTGAAGAATGCAGAAAACAGTCCTTGTTTTAGAAAATATTTCAATTAGGTAAATTTAAACCTGTTTTTAGTAGGAAATACTTATTTAAACTTATTACCGTTGGTGCGGAAATGTTCTCATGATGCAATACAAAGAATATATTGGGTAATGGCCTTTTTGATCTATAGTAATATTATTTTAGGCTGGATTAAGGACCTGAACAGCCTAGGTTTTAAAGTACACTTTGCAGAGATTACTATCGTCTTCGATTTTTACATTTGTTCCAAGTTCCATTCAACAAACAAAGTGTTCTGGAAATTATTTAGAAACACACTCTTACGTGGAAGTATCGAATGAAAGAACCAACAATGCTCACCCGTGATACGGAACTTCAAACATCGATAATAATAAATCGTCAAGTAGGTATATGACATCAAAGTATCGTTATAAAATTCTTCTAATATCGATAATTACCACATCCCTACACAACACTGGTCTAAAGAGAATTAAGCAAATAATATAATTATTAACTACATTTCAAAAATTGGCAAGCGTTAATTAGAAAATGTTAGTATCTTTGTCATATTCGTTCTCGTTGCCCTTACAGCGGCTAGAAGAGGAGTTGTGATGTAATGCATGTGTAAAGCGCTACGTAGCACATTTCCTGTTCCAAGACGTCAACAAGATAAATGCTAGCTGCAAGTGCTTCGAAACTGGTGATAGTGCACAAATCCGTGCCAAATTGTGCTACAGAACAGCGCCACAATACAAACATTAAGTCATAGTTTAATGGCATTGGCATTTTTTCATAGACGTGATAAAAATTGTATTTATTTTCTCGTCGTGTGCGTGTGTTGGTGTGTGCAATAGCGTTTATTCTGTTGCGCCTGTGGCGGCGAGCACTGTAAGCCGTGTGTATTTGTATCCTCTTCTCGCACAGATGACTAAACGCCATTTTTTGCTATGCTATGCGCGTTGCCAGACTACAAGGGTCGAGTTAAATGGCAGTCAATTTTGAACGACAAAATATTAATTGCGTCTAATTTAAAACTTTAAGGAAGTGGAATTTGTAAAAGTGGGAGAATGTTTGTTAATTAAGTGTGGCATGCAATATGACTCCCTTTAGTGCACTATCAGAGCAGTCTGGCCACGCTACGTCACAACGTTGCAAGAGTGAAATTAATTGGGCAGCCAGTAATTTGGCTTGTGCTGTCAAACGGTTTTTATCTTAACGAAAAGTTACTAATGCTATAAAATCGCGGTAACTGTGCCGCCTCGATACTAATTGATATGATATGATTAAATGAATGTACGCGTGAACAACGATGAGGTAATTGTTTTGGCCGAAGCACTTGCTTCGCTGGCTTCGTCTACAGTTTCACGCCCAGTCTCGGTTTCGGCCGCTGTCTCTGCGGCGGCATAATCATCAATGAGGTGCTGTCGAACAAGTGCAAAACGAAGTAGAGCTCGAAGTGCGCGTTGTGTTTACAAAATTGAGGCGTTGTGTAAATTAAAGCGTTATCAGCAGCGCTACAACGGTCATTTGGCCACATTTTCTAAATTGCCAAGAAAGCAGTCAACGCAAAGACCAGCTCGGCTCTCACATACACCAACACGCATGCATACACAAGATACCCATACAAATATACATACAGACATTGGCACGCACATAGCCAGGCAGTCGCACTGCTATGCTCTTTTGTCTACGTCTTTTAACTTTTCTCGTTTGTAATCATTTTCCTCCCATTCGTATGTTTTTTTTTGATGCCATGTACAAATATTAGGAGCTCGAGAGCTAAAGCTGCTAATTAAATTAAAAAACATACAGAAGCGTTAAAAGACGGCACCAAACGACCACAACGTCTGTGACCAAGCCCACTACTCGGACTCTTCATTGGCCTATTTCACTTAATTCGCCAGAAGCGGCGATTGTAGTGGTAGCGGTAGCACCCTGAAAAAATAACAAATAGAAGGTGAGTAGTAGTTTAATCGACATCGTGTTAGTTTAAACTAAATACAATCAATCAATGAACACACTATTGCTTCGGACAATCAATGATGCATGCATGCATGTGTGCGTTCATATCTTTATGCGACAGCTTTCACCAAATCTAGTTTTCCTTTTGGATCTGTGTAGTGGTGTCTTAACGACGCTCCTGCAGCATGTAGGCAAACAAAAATTTCGTACCCAAAAACGTAATCGCGCACCGAAACTAGTAAATTTTGTGTACCACTGAGAGGAAAAGAAGCGGCTAAGATGTCGTTCATAAATAACCTTAAAAAAGTCTTTCACCTGGGCGGCGGTGAGGCCAAGAAGAAGCGGCTGTATAATAACATCAAAATGGATACAGATCCGGCGGAGTTCTGGGAAATGGTCGGCGAACTGGGCGATGGTGCGTTTGGCAAAGTCTACAAAGCGCAACACAAGGAACAAAAACGTTTTGCAGCGGCCAAAATGTGCACGTTAGAAGATGAAGAGAATCTAAGTGATCATATGGTAGAGATTGATATACTCTCAGAGATTAAGCATCCAAATATTGTAGAACTTTACGAGGCCTTCTCCATAGATGATAAATTATGGGTAAGTGAGAACCTTCTTGCTAACGATATTTTGAAAAACAAAAACATCTTTTTTAATATCTGCAGATGCTCATTGAGTACTGTGACGGTGGTGCATTAGATAGCATTATGGTTGAGCTGGAGAAACCATTGACTGAGCCACAGATTGCCTACGTGTGCAAGCACATGACTGAGGGCCTAACATTTCTGCATAGAAATAAGGTCATACATCGTGATTTGAAGGCTGGCAACGTTCTGCTCACAATGGAAGGCGGCGTTAAGCTGGGTAAGACGTCGTAAAGCAGACAGTCCGCATCTGCTCCAATTACTTCAATTTAACTGCCTGTTTTGTTACAGCGGACTTTGGTGTTTCGGCAAAGAACAAACACACCATGCAGAAACACGACACCTTCATAGGCACTCCGTATTGGATGGCGCCTGAATTGGTGTTGTGCGAAACTTTTCGTGACAATCCTTACGATCACAAGGTAGATGTGTGGTCGCTGGGCATAACGCTAATCGAGCTGGCGCAAATGGAACCTCCGAATAGTGAAATGTCACCCATGCGTGTACTGCTAAAAATTCAAAAGAGTGAACCGCCCAAGTTGGACCAACCTAGCAAATGGAGCAAAGATTTTAATGACTTTCTCAAAAAATCGCTGGTTAAGGTAAGGTATTCTTTGAATATTTAATTCATGAGGTTTATAATTTATTATTTAAGCATGTTGAAACATGTTAAAGTAATATAATGTGATGTATTCTGTTATCGATTTGACTTCAAAACGCAGATTCCTCAAATAAATTCAGGAAAATATTATATTGTTTCCTTTTCTCTCAGGATCCCCAACAAAGGCCTACCACAGACGTGCTGTTGCAACATAATTTTATAAATACCAATTTGGATGCCAAGCCCATCAAGGACTTGTTGCTCGAGTACAAGGCCGAAGTGGTTGAGGAGGTGGTCGATGATGAGGCTGAGGTAAGCGTCTCTAAATATGTTTTATGTGTCTATTGTATGAGCACCTACAAACAGCCAATGTGGTAGTTAGAAGATCCTATACGCTCAAAACCTTCACTGATATCTTAAACCAAGCACATTTCAATGAGCAAATTGAAGAATTATTATTAATATGCATTCATCCATCCATGAAATCAACTGACAACTCATACTTAAATGATATTTATGCAATTTGATTTTAAAATTGGTAGAGGGAACAATCTTCAAGAGCTAATTAATATTTTTCATTAACTTAAAATTCAACCTGACCTTGTAGACGGAACTAAACCAAACATATGTAATTTATTTATATTAAATTACCTAAATAGAGTTAACTTCTGGGAAATTTATCAATTAAGTATTTTCGTATTAAAAATAATCCTTGTAGTAGAGCCTTTTTAAAAACTTTTAAAGGGAATTATAAATTATAAAACTGTGCTGGCTGAAGATAGCAACTAATAAGTTTTTTATTTTGCATTTTTCACCTGCTCTCTATTGTAATTTTCTCTCTTACACGCTGCTTAACGCGTAAACAAAACACCCTCACAATGCGATAACTGTATCTGTAACTATAACCATATCGCTTAATGTCATTCGTAACCTCCGTCGTCTTCGTCGCCGTTATTTTTGATGTGCGTCGTCACTTGTTATTTTAAATTTATTTAGAAGCTTAAACGCCAAGTGAAGCGGCGCTCGCTATATCAGAGGGTTGGTAAGTCGTTCTATACACACACGCCTCTTCAACTGGGCATCAGCACTGACACTGGTCTTATTTTCTTTTTTGTTTATCAATATTGTCAAGCGTTTATCACATGCAACTTGTTATTTTCATTTTGGTTTGAGTTCTTGATTTCCATTGTCTTTTGAGTGGCTGCCATTTGTCTAAGCTAGTTGAGCACACAACCAACACTCTCTAATTGATAACAATTTATTAATTGTTATTTTGTCATTTTTCTACAGGAACCCCGCAACTCGGCGCTCCAGCTCGACCTGGACGATGACTCTGCTTCGCTGCAGAGCCAAGACATTGACAAACGTAAGTTTGGTAGTCGTTCAATGAAAAAGCTTTTTAAAGCTCTGAAGACTACCCGGTGTATTTTGTTGTTAATAAAATAATAATAATAAAACGATTCACGATTTTACACGCTTACTTGCAGTTCCAGGTACACCTACATCCATATCGCGGGATTTAAAAGAGCAATCCCTACCAAGTAGTAGTCTTCCAACAACGAAAACAACTACAACAGCAACAACGACAGACAAACCAAACAGCAACAAACAATCTTCCACTGAGGACAATGTGGAATCAGCAGCGGTGGCGACTCCAACAGTGCCCCATACAAAAGTTCCCGCTCCAGCACCGCCACAACAACAACAATCAAATGTTGCAGCTCTGCAAAGAATCAAAGAAGACGTTGCACCTGCAATGGAGACAGCTGAAAAGTCAGATGCGGACAAAAAAGTAAGTCCATTTAGTCAATACATTTTTTTAAACTTTATTTTTTTGTTTTCCTCAAGGTAGTTTATTTTTAAAATTTAAGAGAATTTAAAAAAAAAAAATTAAGTATCTTTTTTCATGATGGAAAAAATAAAAACTAGCACTAGTAGTAGTTACTTTATTCCAGTTATCTAGATTCGTATATATTCTATACTCATTTCAGTAATTAATTTCATATAAAATTGTTTAAGTTAAAATTTTTTTAAAAACATTAATTAAACGAGATACAAAATTATCTTTGTTTCGAAAAGTAACGCATCACTGATTTACCACAATGTTGATTTTGTTTGCAATTACAGCAGCAACCCTTTGTCAAAAAGGAAAAGGGCAAGGCGCCGCCACCGCCACCTTCAGCAGCAATTGTCAAGCAGTCCACAACGCCGCCACTTGAAGATGCGGGCGAGTCTCCTAAGAAGCCTCAACCGCCCGATCCTGAGCCTACAACAACAGCCATTGAAGTGAGCATTAGCCAGCACGATGTGGAGCAGAAACCGCAGCCACCCTCGCCTACAGCATCTTCCATAATATCGGTGCAATCGGTGGCCAGCTCATCCAGCTCTGGCAGTGTGTCCGGTGCTTTGCTAAGCTCGAGCACTTCCCTAATTACCATTAACAGCGATGCATCACCAGCGGCGCGAGCGCTGCCGCAGCCTCAACATGTGCTGCCCAACAGCATCGATTCAGTCAGTCAGATTACTGTAGTAACCAGTACGCATCCACCGGTGATTATTGACAACTCCCTGCCACCCCCGTTGTCGTCGGTAACTCAGAATGAGGTCATCATAGTGTCAAATGACTTAAATAAGAGTACTCATCTGCATGAGTCATCCACCGATGATGACTTCCCCTCGTTGGACGATAGCCTCAGTGACGCGACACCCCCACATAAACAATCTTCCATGATACTGACAGTCAACGAACGGCAGCATCCGGCGTCAGCTGCCCAGGATATGGCTGCCCAGTCAGCTGTTCAAGCCGTTCATGCGCGTAAGCTGGACGAGAGCGAGGTCTTGATTGTTAGTCCGTCGTATGCGGACGACGACTCCGCCTACAACACTGCCTCAGGCAGTCACGACCATAGCGATCATCTGATGGACACGAGTCACGTCTCCGTCGTTACTGTGGGTGATGAAATTAAAGTAAAGGACAGCAGTCACGAGTCGGTAGTTAAGCGCCAACCCAATGGCATTGCTGTGCCCGAGGACGTAAACATAATTGTGAATCGCTTTAAACCGTTACCTCACGCCGAGCAGGATAAACGCGTCTCGCCGGACAGTAGTATGGGCTCTTTAAGCGAGAATGGGTCGGTGCGTGGTCGACGCGGTACTGAGGTACTGATCACAGGAGATGCAGACAGCATATGCACCACCACTAGTCAGGACAGTCGCAACGAGGTAGATCACAAGCAACCTTTGATGCCGCCGCCGCCGTCAGCAACCAATCACAACAACAATCATCCTGGCAAAAACGATGTCATTGATGAGGAGGATGTGGTCATACGTCTAAAGCCCCGTGTGCCGGCTGCGGCTAAGACGGTTAGCACTGCTCCCGGTGGTGGGCTGACCAAAGAAGAGATCGAGTTGCGTAATTTGCGCAAGAAGACGCGCAAGCGCACCCGCAAATTCGAGATCGACGGCGTGCAAATGACCACGACTACTAGTCGCGTGATTTACGGCGATGAGGAGAACGGACGCATCTACGATGATCACGTGTTTCGCAAGCAAGAGCTCCGAGAGCTCAAAATGCTGCAGAAGCAGGAAAAGAAGCAGCAGAACGAGCTTCATGCTAAAGAGCAGCTAGCCAAGGAACAGCAGGATCGTCGATTTGATCAGGAGCGCGTCTCGCTAGAAAAGACGTACGAGGCTGATATGGATACGCTGGCGCGCCAACATAAGCAGCTGATTGAAAAAACTGAACAGACGCAGGAAAATGAGCTTCGCTCTTCATCCAAACGCATACGTTCCGAACAGGAGCAGGAGCTTAAGATATTCCGCGAGAACCTTAAGCAAGAGATACGCCTTTTGAAGCAAGAAGTCGATCTGTTTCCCAAAGACAAGCGTAAGGATGAGTTCAAACAGAGACGAAGCGCCATGGAACTGGACCATGAGGAGAAGGAGCGAGCATTCCTTGACTCTCTCAAAGAAAGGCATGAGTTGCTTCTGCGCCGGCTCAGTGAGAAACATCGCGACCATTTGGCAACTATCAATCGCAACTTCTTGCAACAGAAACAAAATGCGATGAGAACGCGGGAGGCTCTGCTTTGGGAGCTAGAAGAGAAGCAACTACATGAACGCCACCAGCTGTCTAAGCGTCATGTCAAGGAACTATGCTTCATGCAACGGCATCAGATGATCATTAGGCACGAGAAGGAGTTGGACCAAGTTAAACGCATGCTACAGCGCAAGGAGGAGGATCTGGTAAAGAAGCAGACACTGGAAAAGCGTGCGCTGCCTAAGCGTATACGTGCTGAGCGTAAGGCCCGCGATCTAATGTTCCGTGAATCGTTGCGAATATCAACAAATCTTGATCCAGACATTGAGCGCGATCGCTTGAAGAAGGTGAGAATGCATTAAATTTACTTCAATTGGGATCGCTGAAATCCCTTTCTTTATTTCAGTTCCAAGAGCAAGAGAAAAAACGCTATATGCAAGAAGAGCGCCGCTTCGAGGTGAAGCACCAAAAGCAATTAGAGGAATTACGCGCCACGCGTGAAAGCGCAATTAGGTACGTTGTTCTATATCTTATCAATCTTTTCTATCTTTGTGTTGGCCTAAAACCTCTTTACGGTTTATTTGTAATTTACCCGAGAGTACCCCTAACTTGTGGGGAGTTTTGTATGAGGAGATAATAAGGGCAGTTAATGCCATTTAGTAATAGAGTTTGCATAGAAACCAAACAATATCTCCTATATAGTGTTATTTTGCTTATAACTGTCTACATTCTTCGCAGGGAACTGGAGCAATTGCAGAATGAAAAACGGAAAGCTCTAGTCGAACATGAGCATGCCAAGTTATCGGAGATCGATGAGCGGCTTAAGGCCGAGTTACGAGAGTGGCGAGAGCAGCTGGTTCCTCGCAAGCAGGTGTGTATCTTCGGCGCTTAGCGCTGATCCAACTAGAGAATTTTTCCCTAATCGGTGTATTGTGTGTGTATTGTGAAGTCGTAGATACATTGTAAATAGATTCACAAATTGGATCGAGTGTCTTAGATGTTGTGCATAGAATATACCTATCCTCATATCGTAGTTGTTGTAGTTGTGGTTATGGTGAACTATGGTGGTTCAAATTCACAACGCCTGCCGTTTTGAGTTTGATGATCAACGCCAACTAAAATTCAATTATTTTTTAACTTTTTCTTTCTCTTTACACCCACGCAAATGCATACACTGTGGTGGCCTACTATGTTGTACCTACATACTACCTACTACAAAATTAATATATAAAAAAAAAACAAATCCAAAACTAAACCAAAAATAAATGAAATGCTTACTGCTGTGCTTCCAACTACTAACATCCAACTACTGGCCTTGCATGTTAATCCAATGCAGAAACTAAACGCTTCGATCAGCGCGGCCATCGATGAATTCGAAAAACGCTATGGCCTGGTAGCCAATCGTGGCGAGTTCGAGGAGTTGGAGGTGGAGCTGCCCGTGCGCCTGCGTGGCATCTTCAATGAGCGCTCGGCGCGATTGCTGCCCCGTAACACCTTTATCGATGTGCAGCAGCTGCCACGATCACGTTCCTCGCTGCTGATGCTTGGCGGCGGTGGCGCCTCAAACTTTCGCGGTTCAGCACCCGACTTAAGTCGTAGCGTGCCAAGCACGCCTATCTTTCACAAGCAGCAACGTGTCCAAATGATCAGCGAACTGGTGCTGGAGGAGGATGCCGAGGTGGATCCAATGAAACGTGCCAGTGTGTCTACCATGCCCGGAGAGCTACGCTTAAAAACAAAGGCGGCTGTGCCGCCATCCAATGAGCTAGTAAAAGTGGTGACCAGCACGCCGCCGCTCTACAGTGCAGATGCGGATAAGCAGCCGTCGGCCATGAGCACTTTTCGTCAAAGCGTACCACCCCCACCACCACCGATGCCTAAGACACCGGAAAAGGTGGGTTTTGTGGCCAATCGCTTCAATGTTTCAGGAGGCGTGGATAATCAGGTTGAGCTGCGCATACACGAGGGCCCGGTGCTCACGGCGCAGGCGCAGCGTCTTCTCCACTCCACCTCCTTTGCCATCAAACGGCCATCGTTGACGAGCCGTAGCAGCGGACGGTCCTCTCTTAGCAGCGCTCAGTCAATGTACAATATGCATGAGTTGAGCACCCGATTCAGCGATGCCGAGCTTATCTACGATGCGGGACGGAAAGCAGCAGCGCTGCTTGATGAGGTGCAGCCAAACCTTCGCAGCACCACTAAAAATACGCCGGAGGACGATGCAATGACGGAAACTGTGGATGACTTATACTATGATTTGTATAAGCAGAAATACAAACTACCTCGTGTGGGTCAAACGCAGTACAGTCGGAGTGAGGACTCGTCGGCCGCCTGAGATTCGACTGTCCTGAGCTGCCGGATGGATATCACCTGGCACATTCCAATGCATTTCGCCTTAACTATCATTCTGCTTAGCTACACTAATTAGCTATACTAATCTTTTCGCTTGCTTTCTCAACTCGGTGCTGGTTAACTGCACACACACACACATACATGTATCCCGCATCTACCTGAATTAACAATTACTTCCAATTCCCCAATACCCTATTCTATTCTCTTCGAATGCATTCTATTTATGATAAAAAAAAAGGGGGAAACAAAGAAAATGCCATAAAATGTTTGCCAAAGTTGGCGCCATATTTCGTGCGCACACAACATTTTTTGTTAGTCTTTAAACGTTGTTTTTGTATTTATTTATAAGCGGTTGAGTAACAGTAATGTTCTCGCTAAACAATAAATTTGTTTGCTAACTTTATAGTTACGAAGCGCCGGTGCTTGCCAAATTTCTTTACCACTTACATACCTTCCATATACAAACATACATATATAGCAGCAGTATTATCTATGCAACGTACTTAGCTAGATGGCCAAAACATAAAGACGCAAATACACATACACCCACACATGAGATGCAGGTTACCACCAAGCATTTACCACTGCTTAGACTACATACATACATACATACAAACATAAACACATTCAATATCAACGAACTTATTAACATAACTACATACTTATACAAATTTCATTATGCCACATTAATCGAAATTCAAATCAACGCGCTGTTGCCACAAAACTGAATCAAATAAATGAAACAAAATTCTTAAAACCTTTCCGAAATCACACCCACTCTTTGCTGATCTTCTTCTACTTCTATATGTAAAGCAACTACAGCAGCGGCTGCAACAAGAGGTTAGTTGGCTTTCTTTTCCAAATATGAAACCTTATTCTGGCTATGGCTATGCATGCGCTATCTACAAACATACATACATACATACATATATGAATTGTATACATATATATATATGTGTTGTACCTACAATTATATTTAAATAAATATATGACCCAAATTATTAATTGACTTTGAATCCCTCAGCGCCTGGAGGAAACATTTGCACAGCAGCTGGACGAGATGGAGACGCTCTATGGCGGCGCTTTGATCGTTTCCATGCCCACGGATACATTGCAGCGCGATCATTTTACGGGCTCGACGCGCAGCAGCCTGAGTTCGTATTCCGAAGGCTAAGAAGAAGATACATATATATGTACATATATATTTTGTATATGCGCTAAGGAGCGCAGTGTTTCAAGTTTATTTTGTGTCGTAATCTATTGCATAGGTTTAATTTTAATATTGCATTGTATTTTAGCCTTTTACAAATTATTATTATTATAATTATTAACATTGTACATGTCTATCTATATCTATCAATCAATCTATATTTATGGAGAGCGAGTATGTCTTACATACACAAGAGCATCTATCCATATAGCATACATATCTATATATACACGTATATACACTTAAATATGTACACAAGAACCGTCAACAGCAACTTACTTAATGCTTAACTATGTACCCACACAAGAACACACCACACAGATAAATAGACAAACAAAATAAAAAACACATACATACTAACAAAATCAGGCACACACACTAGTAATCTTTTGTTGACCTAACTGCTTTTGTAAATATATATACATAAATTATGCGAAAACAGCAACAATGCATAGATAAACATTTAAGATTGTGTGAGAGAGTTTAGAAAAAGTCAATGCGGAACATTTGTAACGTGGCTGGCCGCTCAGTCCCAAAACAACAAAAACAATATAGATAGCAGATCGCAAATGACGCAAGACAGCATGTGAATAAGAGCGGCGGCATCTGCCGGCAAATAAAAAAAGATATTTATATTTGTAAAAGTTTATGCCTATATAATTTACTATATGTATTTAATTTAAACAAATGAAAAATATATTTTAAAAACCGTGCAGAAATGTTTTGTGTTTGTATGTAATTCGAGAAGGTCAATCCAAATTAAATACACCTAATTCTGTTTTTACACCGCCTTTTTTTTACACGGTTTTGATTTAACACGGTTTGAAAATTCAAAATTTCACATATGTATATTTCTTTAGAGATAAGGAACCAATCATCTTTTTTTGCATATGATCAATGTCTTTTTTACACGGTTGTTTCTAGAACCAATCTAGCGTGCAAAACAGAATTAGGTGTATTTTATTATATTATATATCTTAAGCTCAACGAGAAACTGATTTTTTGTGCCGGACTTAAAGATTTCCCATTTAAATAGAAAAACAAAAAAAATTAGGTGCGAGAAATATAACAGTAACTAACAGATAATTTTTTAAGGACGCTGTGGCCTATAGCGTTGTTAGTGCAGTTTTGAATTTAAGTTCAATATCAAGGCTATACATACTAGCCTTTTCATTTTGTTGAAATGTAGTATTGTGCAGATCTGATATCAAATCTTAAGGACCGGAACGAACAAACTAATAGGCAAAAGTAAGACTAAGAATAAGAACCAACAGGATGGGATCGACAAACTTGGCGAACAAATTTCAAAAACAACGATTACAAAATTATATACAATACTATGCCACGCCTTTTTCTGGATGTTTTATACATCCTCACTATCTCTGAGTACCACACAATAAGCCTAGTATAGCCAGTACCAATTCCCATTTATTCAAGAGCATTATTCAAGTTAAGAATAGTTTTGATCTTGAAAAACCAATTTTGAATCGTGTTCAGCTAGAGGCTCGATTATAGGCAAAACACCCATTTTTATTATTTCTACATCGGCTAACGAGTTGACAATACCTTCCACCAATCACAGTTCTCCAACACCACGACTTGGAATTGCTCCCCCAATCATAATGTATGGGGAATGCAACGCAGAACTTTGCACACATTGATCACTTAATCTTTTATTGACTCCACGACGAATGAAAAGATACTTGAGTCCAAATTTCATCTTTTACCGTTTGGGCTGTGCGTTGATCACCAATTAGTCAGGACAAACTGTTTTATATATAGAGATAACGCAACGTTTTAAGATAGACGATTTGCAAAAAAGGGGGAATAATTATAAGGGTATATCCTAATTTTAAATTCACATTTGAGTCAATACGGTCACGCACAAACTCGGAATATGAAACACGGCACTCGTGTCAATGCCGTGCAGCGATGAGCCACGATCAAAAAGCACTGACAATTCTCATCTCAATTTGCTAGAGTAAAACTTTCGATAGTTGAAGCCACCGATACCATCAAAATATCGAAGTTTGAATGCAATAAGCAGAATATTTAAATAATAAAATCTAATTATTTATTGAGATCGATAGGAACAAATCATATACATACATACATCTGCCCGCAATGCGAAGCAGAATATGCGTAGCTCTGTTATTCGGTTTCTGCTTTACTATCGCATACGCAGTCGTTGCTTAGCGACGGTAACTGTAAACTTTTGGCGTTGTGCCTTTGCAATTAACATTAAATGGTCAAAACGAAAGAAGATGAGCGAGCCAACAACTTGAAGTTGTTGTTGTTGTTTTGTATTTACATGCTTCATACATATACAGGCATAGATACATATGCTTGTACATATGTATGTATGCATGGGCACACATAGACACGAACTGTTCCCAACTATTTGATATTTGATATATGGCAAGTAAAAAACATATTGCTATATTTTAATCGTTGAATGCCAATTTGTTGATATAATGTTGATTACATTACCCAAATTTGAAATCGATCGGACAAAATTTATAACACAAACTATTCATTTGAAAAAGTGAATAAATATTAAAACCCCAATAATAAAATTAAATGCGATATATCGAAAATATCGATACTTGTGTTGATATATCGTAATACATGTCGAATACAAATACATCGAAAAACATCGTTTGAGAGTTATTGATTATAATACTGTATTCGATTGTTCACTGTACACATATGTACATACATACATACAAATGTATTTGTGTGTGTACGGTAACTGTAAACTTTTGGCACTTTTCGTATGCAATTAACAGCCGTAAATTATCAAAACTAAAGAAGTTTTGCGAGCCAATAACTTGAAGTTGTTGTTGTTGTTTTAAAAATTTTGATTTGAAAACATAGAACACTATTTATTACAATTAAACAACAGTGTTCGATGGCCCACTGCATACATACAAACCTATATATGTATATAAGAATGTATGTACGTACATACAGACTTATTGATGTACATATGTACATACTATACATACAGACGTATGTATATATGTATGTACGTATGTAATACATATGGTGCTGGTGTAATTCATAATGCGAAATTCTTTCTAAGGGGAGCAATGTCCCCCCTGCCCAACCAGCGTACGCCTTGTAGTCCGTTGTCCTAAAAACCCCTTATGCCAAATGTACTAAACAAAGAAAAAATAACATAAAAATGTTTATGTTATAATGTTAATAATTTTTAATTAATTAACATTTCTTGCCCTGTCAGTGCAAGACGAATGTACTTTTATACATATGTATGTATGTATATATGTACATACATTTGTACAAATGAACATTCACACATTAGTGTCTCACATTTTGCTTTGGCTACTTCAACCGTTTGCACGCAACTACACGAACAGCTGCTTGTATATATGTATGTGTGTGTGTATGTATACTTAGTTGTCCCCAACTGTTTGATATTTTGTATTGTTTGTTCTGCCTGCATTTGTAATGCATATTTTAAAAATCGTTAAATGCAAAGTTGTAATTTTAGTTACGTAGATTATATTACCCAAATTTGAAATCGATCGGACAAAATTTATAACACAAACTTTTCATTTGAAAAAATGAATAAATATTAAAACCCCAATAATTCAAGCTCCAACACAAATTTCGAAAAACCGAGCATGCAGTTTTGTTTGTATTCTTTTATAGATTATAAAAACCAAATTTAAAGTTGATCGATTCAGAAATGCAGAATTTTCAAACAAACTTTGGAGCTACTTTTCCCCCCTTTGGAGCTCGAATTTTCGAAAATCCCTTCTTAGTGCGCATCTACACCATGATAGGATACTTGAGCCCAGTTTTCAGTTTCCTAGCTTTTACCGTTTGGGCTGTGGGGTGTTGATTGTGTTTCAATTTTTCCACGGAAAACCCCCCTTTTTTCATGCCCCAGGAAAAATGGTGAAAAACCAAGTATACAGTTTTTCTTGTATTCTTTTTGAGAGTATACAAACTAAGTTTGAAGTTAATTGGATGAAAATTGTAGATTTTTCATACAAACGTTGGAGCCCGTTTTCCCCCCTTTGGCGTTCGAATTTTCCAAAACCGCTTCTTAGTGCTCACCTACACCACTGAAGACAACATGTATCCAATTTTCAGCCTCCTAGCTCTAACCGTTTGGGCTGTGCGTTGATTGCACATAGCTTTTCGTTTACCGAATTTTCCACCGGAAAATCATTATTATTCAGGCCGCAGGAAAAATATTGAAAATCCAAGTATACAGTTTTTTTTGTATTCTTTGTGAGAGTATACAAACTAAGTTTGAAGTTAATCGGATGAAAATTGTAGATTTTTCATACAAACGTTGGAGCCCGTTTTCCCCCCTTTGGCGTTCGAATTTTCCGAAACCCCTTCTTAGTGCTCACTTTCACTATAAGAGGGATCTTATGTCCAAATTTCAGCTTCCTAGCTCTTACCGTTTGGGCTGTGCGTTGATTGCCAATCAGTCAGTCAGTCAGTCAGTCAGTCAGTCAGTCAGTCAGTCAGGACAAACTGTTTTATATATATAGAGATAACTGGCATCT